AAAAAATATGGCACAAAAGACGAGTGTCAGCACCTGAAGGTATGGCTAGAAAATGTTGAAAATTGAAAAAGTGGCACTAGTATAACGATGCGTGCAGATTGCGGTGATACCGAAATGGGGTTGGTCAAGTCCACGAGAACAGGTTCTTAAGAAGATGAGGTTACGGGATTTCTGGGCATTAATGCGCACACATTCGTCTGCAACATGGACAGACATAAATGCAGACTATCAAACGAAATCATCAATCGTATTCATGAAACGGATTTTATGTGGAGCAAAATGGTGCAGAGGGGCATTGTGAACATGGAAACAATGCGACAAATTTGTTTCATTTTATTGATAATCTCTTTCGCCGTTCAATTTCACTCATCGAAATTGCCATTCAAATCGTCATTGTGAAAACAACCTCTTTGAATATCACTGAAGGTGTCATCAATTTCGGAGAGATTAATTGATGTTCGTTGTTGAACACAGACATCTTATTCTTGACAAAGTTTTTACAGCACGTTAGAGTTGGTGCTCTTGACCGAAGCTGGTTTATTGACGAGAAAACAGCTGACTCAACCGTGAAATGTTTCGCTTCCAAAGTGGACACTACTCTCCTGAAACTTCAAGTAGTGAACTTCGCTTTTTTCTCTGGTAACGTGCAAACTTAATGTGCTTGAGGTTACACGATAGGACCGTACATGTTGGTGAACTTAGCTGGCGCGTTTCTTTCTTGATAAGCCGAAATTGGTTGCTTATTTCGGTTCATCTGGCATCCGGGTTCCTTGTTTGACTCACACTATCTAATCCGTATCACGATTCTTTCGAAAGAAATTGCTGAAGTGTCCGCTTTTTATTCATTACCGTCTCGCCGAATGCTTCCTCGTATTGCTCAAACGCTGATCGCCACTATGACCACCTAATAATTGATCACATGAATTGCAATAGATCATCAGAACAATATTTACCAATGTTAGAATGACGGTCGAAAATTCGAACAAAAGTGTCAAAGGTGACCACGCGGATGAAATTCAACCCTTTGCTTTGGTATATTCCAAATTTTGTCTTTTTGTTGCAAACATGCCATGACTTGTATTTAACCCGTATAGGTCCCTTTAAAAGAACGTTGAATTCCCGTTTTCATCGTTGCTTTCGCGTAATGTGACACTATTAGTTTGTCATCACCAGGCAATAATGATGGCAAACAAACGGTTTCACATTACGTGGATCAGCTACTGTAAGTGCAGAACATGTTCAGAATGACCGATGTTGGGCACTGATTTGATGCATTTCGCTTTTAATCAGCCTCTTTCAGAAAGAGTGCAACGAATAGCAACCAGCAATTATTATGTGTGTGAAAGTGTGTGTTCTTCGAACAACGTCATATGAGTACGGTTACATGACGTTCGCTTTGGTCGAAAACTTCTTCGCTGCTAAATGAATGGGATTGTTTTGAATGAGTTTATTTCCCATGAACAGGTATCATTGTCAACAGTTCAACGATGAAGAATAATAATATTCACGGTTTCGACTGCACTTCATGTCGGCTCATGCTCAGAGGGAAAAATGTCGGTAACTATTGAAAACAGTGACTTCTCTGCTGCTTGAGACACACACACACACATATCAGAGTTCAAAGCAGAATGAAATACCAAATGAAATACACACATATCAAAGCAGAACTACTCAAAACAGAGATATTCTATTCAAATATAACGCTTCGAAAATGAATATGCGTGAATTGTTGTATGAAATGTAGAATATTTTGAGTTATAATTTTTCTTTAAAGGCGAAAAGTTTGTAGTGAGGAAAGAGTTCGATGCATCAATTTATGGTAAGTTGTGGAGGACTTGTAAGGTACACCCAACCAACTTCTCGAAATGATTGATGCTGGAGTGCTTCGAGGCGGTAGTTTGATCTAAAATGTCCTTCAGGTGCGATCTCTCGCCCGAATTGTTGCGTAAGTGACATATTTGACGTTCTTATAGTCTCTTCTTCAACAAATTATGAAAAATTATAGGATGGTGGTTACAATAAATTTGCTGACTAGGTCATGTTTATTCAGTATTGTCAAGATGCATTCAACAAATTCGTTACTTCTATAAGTAGTAAATAGGGTAGCTAGGACAAAGTGTTCATATTTTAAACCATTCAACTTGTGACACACTGATTGTGAGAGGCTGTTTTCATGTCTCATA